TCGGAGAACCTTCGGAAAATACGTCATCGATTATGCAAATTAATAATCGGAAAGCCCTCGTTGTTTTATCATCATCGGAGAACCTTCGGAAAAATACGTCATCGATTATGCAAATTAATTTGCATAACTCATGAATTATTAAGGGCTAGGCTAATTATGCGCATAGAATGGGGTCCATTAAGCCCGAGATATAACTACTGGATAGCTCTATCAGTTCTAAACTGTTCTTCCTAGAGATCCAGTAAGGATCATCTCTTATTGATCCAGCGTTACTACAGGAGGAAACCTAAACTAAACTGACCTCATTTACACTGGATATCTCTATCAGTTCTAAACTGTTCTCACTAGACGTCCAGTAAGGGTGATCTCCTATTGATCCAGTGTTACTACAGGAAGAAACTTAAACTAAACTAACTTTATTTATACTGGATAGCTCTATATATCAGTTCTAAACTGTTCTTCCTAGAGATCCAGTAAGGATCATCTCCTATTGATAAAGTGTTACTACAGGAAGAAACCTAAACTAAACTAACTTTATTTATACTGGATAGCTCCTAGAGGTCCAGTAAGGATCATCTCCTATTGATAAAGTGTTACTACAGGAGGAAATCTAAACTAACTTTATTTATACTGGATAGCTCTATCAGTTCTAAACGGTTCTTCCTAGAGGTCCAGTAAGAGCCGTCTCTTATTGATGCAGTGTTACTACAGGAGGAAATCTAAACTAACTTTATTTATACTGGATAGCTCTATCAGTTCTAAACGGTTCTTCCTAGAGGTCCAGTAAGAGCCGTCTCTTATTGATGCAGTGTTACTACAGGAGGAAATCTAAACTAACTTTATTTATACTGGATAGCTCTATCAGTTCTAAACGGTTCTTCCTAGAGGTCCAGTAAGAGCCGTCTCTTATTGATGCAGTGTTACTACAGGAGGAAATCTAAACTAACTTTATTTATACTGGATAGCTCTATCAGTTCTAAACGGTTCTTCCTAGAGGTCCAGTAAGAGCCGTCTCTTATTGATGCAGTGTTACTACAGGAGGAAATCTAAACTAACTTTATTTATACTGGATAGCTCTATCAGTTCTAAACGGTTCTTCCTAGAGGTCCAGTAAGAGCCGTCTCTTATTGATGCAGTGTTACTACAGGAGGAAATCTAAACTAACTTTATTTATACTGGATAGCTCTATCAGTTCTAAACGGTTCTTCCTAGAGGTCCAGTAAGAGCCGTCTCTTATTGATGCAGTGTTACTAGTCAAACTGGTAGCATTCTTCTCACATACAACTGCATGAAGCGAAATTATAGACATATACATACACAGTACGTTATTGACTGAGTGAGAGAACTTTTTGTGTCATAATGTAGACTATTAAACTTTAAAATTGTACAGATCGTAAAAACCACACACCTTGGAACGCTACGGTCAATCTTGTTAGGATCAATCTCGCAATATCGTTTTTCTTTGTAAATCTTGTCGATAGTTGGTTTTAACGTTTCTAATAAATATGGTATGCCAATTACCTGTGGAAAAAATCTTCATTAACGGTTGTTTATATACCCAATTCAATTTATCCGTAATTGGACGGGTTTGGCAAGTTGATTTGCTGGTCAACGTCAGAAATGGTAAGGAGCATAAAATTTAAACTACATCTCTGAATTCTTTTTGTTATCCACATAAAAGACTACTTATTATAATGAAAAGAATTAATACTATTTTCTCATGAGCAGAACGCGTAGTAACTAATTACCTTCATAAATTCGTCAACCCCTTTTGTTGCGAGAGAATTACCACGAAACAAGGTATTAAGGGTTTCTATAAAATAAAGTCATAGTGAAGTAAACATGATTAACTTATCGCTAAGTTTAGTTTAGGTTTCCACTGGATCAACAAGAGATGATCCTTACTGGACCTCTAGGAAGAACAGTTTAGAACTGATAGAACTATCCAGTATAAATAAGTTAGTTTAGTATAAGTTTCCTCCTGTAGTAACACTGGATCAATAAAGAATGACCCTTACTGGACCTCTAGAGAAAGAACAGTTTAAAACTGATATAGAGCTACCCAGATCCAGTATAAATAGAATCAGCTCAGTTTAACTTGTGTGGATGAAAACAAAGATAAAACAATTTTCTACCTGTAGTAGCGACCTCGACTTTTGTGAGGGCATCAAGTAATTTTACGATCATGCCTTGGTTGATGTAGAGCTTCACAAGGGAACGCCCAATGGCAGTACGGTCAGCAGTCATCACCTGTTCCAGCAGGCTCAGCGTATTGACTTCATCATACGGCTGTTTCTTCACTGTCTCAACCAAGTGGTTGATTAATGGTACATAACATTCCCAGGGGAGTATCTGGTCTTCAAATAACTGAACGTTTAGTCGTATCTTGCCGAGTTCTTTCCTGCAATAGTACAGTTTTGAATATCAGGATTTTGGGGCAGAAAAAAATAATTTTCTTCCAGGGAGCACAACCTGAAGACAAAAATTTCCTGCAGACCACCAACGGAGTATTTTTGTGCTGCATGTGCATAAACGTACAGTGTTCAGGGGCGTAGGAACCGGGGGGGGGGGCAAGTGCCCTTTTTCCGGAAGCAAAGTGCCCTTTTCTTGCGTGAAAAATGTCATTAAAATTGCATTTTTTGCCCAAAGGGCACTTTTGAAAAATTGAATCTGCGTTATTTCCGGAAAATTTTTTCCACTTCTGGGAAAAATATCATATATCCGAAATTTTTTTTGGTATATCCGGAATTTTTTTTTCATATTTAGGAAAAAATGTGATATATCCGGAAAATTTTTTTTGTATTTCCGGAAAATTTTTTTGGAATAGATGCCCTTTTTTCCGAAAAGTGCCCCTCAAAGTTTGCCCCCCCCCCCCAACTTTTAGAAGGTTCCTACGCCCCTGACAGTGTTCTAGCTGACCATGGTTTTAAATGAAAGGAATAATGTCTGTCAACCATATACCTTATTATAGGATATTAACGATGCACTTTATTAGCGCGACATAAATTAACGCGACATCAAATTAACGCGGATTGCTTCTATAGGTCTTTTAAAACATGATTATATTAACGCGAATCTGATCTCCATGGTTGACAAATTAATTAAATTAACGCGAATCGGAAAATATAGACAAAACAATAACAAAGGTTTAATGTTAAGAGGAGCACTGACGTTTTTAGTTTACGTTACTGTCGATGCAATGGAAGTGTTGATAAAATATTGCATGAATTCATTTCTTCAAGTTGATCAATTCATACGAATTCAAATTTCTTTTTACCTCCTGTGCGTTTCCTATTGGTCAATCGGTTCTGAAACGAAATCTAATTGGCTCATTTAAAAGTAACAGGATCGGAAGTTGATCAATTTTCGATCAAATGAATTGATCGACTTGAGGAAGGAATTGGTGCAATATTTTATCAACACTTCCATTGCAGTAATATGCTGTATTTTGATATTAAAATAGTTAGTATTATATAAAACAAATCTAGGTATTTTTAACTAACGATAAATGAAAATTACATACTTAAAATTAACGATCACATAAATTAACATTAAATTAACGCGAATTTTTAAAATCCGGCCCCGCGGGTTTGAACCACGCAGCCGTCGCGGGTTTGATTCCTGCTAGTGGGCTGGACGGATGACAAGTTAAGAACTCAGCTTCATTTCAAAACATGTTGTCTATTAAATTTGTTGGGAAACATGCATATAGACAGAACGCACAATACAAACAAAATATTCAAAATTCTCACTTTTTGCCCTCGGGTTTTATTTTCCCACTTTCCCTATGTGTGAGAGTATACCACTTGTCCACTTGCTCTCCGATAGCAATACTGTCCAAATCTACCAGAACCTGTTCAACGAGAAATAAAAACTACAATTTTCAAAAATGCATTAAAGAGGCTAGCTGTCAAGTCCGTCATGCGCATGTTTTATTTACATTTTTTGTTTGATTAAAATTCTGATCTGTGTACATTTTTTGTTTGAAACAATAGATAATTTAAAATTCCGGTCTGTGGACCCACAGATTGGAATTTTAATTAAATTATCTATTGTTTGAAACAAAAAAATGTAAACAAACACACAAATGAGCAGAACGGACTTGACAGCCTCTTTAATTAAACCACAGCAACTTATTGTAGAATACTACCAGCACTTGACTTAGCTCCCATGAAACGTGGGTTGAAATCCTTTAGTCTTACCTCCCCAATCAAGACGTTTTGTCCAATCCTTTCTTTGTCATACACCTCGGCACAAATATATTGTTCTTGTAGTGATGTCGTACAAACAAGTTCAAACGTAGAATTCCAGATTGGACAACTTGTCTTCCTCACCTACAAAAGATTGGAATTAAATGACAGACTGGTTAGCTGGTTTATTATGGTGGTGATGATGATGGTGAAGAAGATGGTGTTTAAGGTGGTCTTCCACCCAAATTTTCCAATATTCGTTATTTTTTAGAAAAACGTAAAAATGTAGTCTTTATAGCGTTCTTTATAAAATCCGTGTAATTTTAAGAACGAAAATGTACCGTAAACCAGAGAAATCCAGCAAAT